GCATCAATGCTTTGGATTGTTTTCACTTCAGGACCAATGGAGTTGGTCCTCATGGAGCTCTGTATAAAAGAGCAGTGTATTTTGAATAAACTGGAGTTTTACTCTCAGCAGCTTTTTGAGTGAGTCTTCTCATTCCTGTCCTGCCTCGACAGCGACAGTCCTCCACCTCCCCAGGTGCTTTTTTCTCCTGCCTGGGCTCCCTTGTGCCAGGCAGCAGAGACAGAGCCGCTGAAATTGCACCTGGAGGAAAGGCAGGAGCTCTGGGGTGGCTGTAAGAATTTTGGATGTTGGGCTCTGCAGCCCGGCCCCACGGATCCAGGAAGGCAGCAGCCACAGAGTGCCAGGCTCCAGCTCTCTGCAAAGGCAAGTTCGAGTCAAAAAGATGCAATCAGAATCTGAACTGAAAATAAGATATGGATGTGGCCGATTTTGACATTTATAGCTCATGTTTATTATGCAAATTGGCCACACTCTATAGGAATGCAGCAGAAGGAGATTGCAAAGGGCACCGACTCATCCTTGACGTCTGAGTTGGAAGCATCTCTGGCGCATCTGTGGCCCTGTTAAGCAGATTTTTGGGGTGGTGGGGAGGCAGCCAGGGCTGTGGGGGCTCTGTGAGCGGTGCCAATGCCTGGCTGGGGCTGTGGGATCTTTAGGGATGTGGGTTTGGTGGAACAAGAGGCTGTCAGAGCAAACCATCTCCGAGCTGATCCCCAGGATACAATTCAGAGGCATTTCCTTGGATAATTTCAGCAGATAATTTCAGCCAGAGCTCTGGCTGTGCCTTGGCCTGGCTCTGAAGGGTCCAGGAAGCTCCCAAGTGTTTTGGAATGTTTTAGAGTGTGGCTGCCTGAGCAGAGACTAAAACAGATTGCTGTGGCCCTTTGTCGAGTCACCTCTGTGTTGTTATTGGACACGAAATGAGTATACAGAAGTTTGGTAAGTTTAAAAGTGGAAAAGACCCAATTTTATTTCTCACCTCACAATATATAGAATTTTAAGAGTGACAGTGGATTGGAGGATGAAACTGCCACCTCTCCAACCACACTGGTTAAACTAACAGTTTAATTCTCTTCTCCAGTATCAATTCTCTCCTCCCACAAAGAAGAATGTAAAACAATCATTATTTACCTGAACAGTGTGTGAGCACTCTATAACATATGCAATACATGACACAACTTTTTCATGCATATTCAGCCCTTGGCCCCACCTGTCCTTGCCCCTCGTGGTTTGCTGTGGTGGTTGCACCGGGGTCCCTGGTGATCTCTGCGGCCGAAGATTTTGGTCTTCCTCATGACTGAACTTTGGAACTTTTCCCCTTTGAGAACCTGACCGTCTGTCAGTCTTGATGGGCTTGGAGACAGAGAAGCTTCTTTGTCTGGGTTCTTTGCATCCTCGGTGTCCTCCGGTATTGTTCTTTATGCAAGAACCTTCAGAAATCTGCATTTTCCTATGCCCTTTGTACCATGGCAGAGGTTTCTTAAGGAAAAGGTCAGAATTCAACACATAATTCTACAAGCTAAAATTTTAAAGCTTAATTCATTTTGTTAACTCAAGTGAACTCCAAAAATCTCTATTTCACCCAGGCCCATGTGCTGTTCCGTTTTCCCAACACGGTTCAAAGGCAGGGCAGCTCCAATGTGCCCAGAGCTGCTCGGGTGTGATGTGGCACCGTGGGCAAGAGCCAAACCCCACGTCTGACAGTGAAAGCACTCTGCTGGAGCACAGGAAAGCAAATTACTGTGGAGTTAACAAGAAAATCCATCATTGGTGGGAAGAGGAGGAGGGAACTGGTTGAAGGATCCACGTACAGGAGTGTGACAGCGATCAAACAACAGCCCTTTAAATGTCAAGGGGTGTGAGCGTGGTTTAATAGCAAGCAAAACGCTGCCAAGCTGGGTGATGAGGAACAAAGCAGAGGGATGGAGACATCCACACATTATCTGCTCCCTGGAGAAAGAGAGGAGGGAGATAATTCAGGTTTATGCTTGATCTGCTGTGTAAATCTCAAAGAGGTAATGTTTTCTTTTATCAAAGAGTGAAAAAAACCAAACCTGTTTGTTTTCAGCAGTGTTCCTGCCATCAGCCAGGCAGCCCGTGCTCGGCTGTACAATGAGATTCACAGCGTTTTCCTGCCCAGAGCTGGGCAGGATTGCACCCAGGAGGGATGGAACCCTGCAGGGTGTGGCAGCTGGGCAGCCCTGGCTCCCTTGGAGGCAGAGGACTGTGAAAAACGCCAATCACTTGGTTTTTAAAAATTTTAAAAGTTTAATAATAATATAAAAATAGTAATACAATTAGAGTAATAAAGTTTAGAGTTAGGACAATTACAAGACTATAAAAAGTAAAGAATTATGGATGTCTGGATGCTCTCGGACACTAAGTTATGAAAAGCATACTTTGTGAACACCAGGGCTCTCCCACCATGCTCTGGGTACCTGGCACCCCTAAGGGATTTCACTGCAATCACAGCTGGATTTGATGATCTTGGAGGTCTTTTCCAACCTCAAAGATTCTACGAATCTGTAAGGAAACAAAGAACACTGAGCATTACGACTTCAGCATGAAACCAGCAAGGCATGAAAAGCTGGGCTGTGTTGGGAGAGGGGAGATCCCTGGGCTGGCCAAGGGGCAGCAAGGAAGGGTTTGTACTCTGAGAAGCACAAAAGCAGCTTTTTCAGAGTCAGCTCCTCAGACCTGCGGGTATTTGCGTTTTCATTCATCTCCCTGCATCACAATTCTTTGTGCAAAGTAGGGATCGTGCCCTCTGCTTTCACAGGGACTGGAAAGATGTTCCCGGGTATTTGTAGAACACTCCTGATGTGTATTTACAAGAGGCATAAGGAAAATCAGGAGGAAATGAAGAGTTCAGTATTCAGAGCAGGCTCTGAGCAGTAAAAGCACCCACTCCAGGGGAATCTGAGTGTGGAATTACCTGCTCAGCTGGCTCAGCGTGGGGCTGGGCTGGTGGCACAAACCTGTCCCTGTGTGGATGTGCCAGCACCCAGAGGCTGCACTAAGCTTTAATGGGTAAAAATGAGTTTTTATTTACTGGTGGTGTGGTGCTTGGTTTTCCCAGCTGCTCCTCCCATCCAGGTTTTGCACAGCTTGGACCTGTATGTATATTTTATAAAAGGTCTGCTAAAATGTGTTACTGCAGAAATAAAACTAAACTCTGCTTCATTTTTAATGAGCCATCAGGGAGCAAGTTATTGCTTGTGTGTTGGAGTGGTTTTCTGCTCCCAGGCTGTTTATACCAAAATGTCTTGGAGAGAAAATTGTGATTAAATTTCTTGAGAGATACCTGTATTTGTGCTGAAAGCCTTTCTCTCAGCCAGGAGTGGGGCTGTCAGAACTGCTGAAAGTGAAGCACAATTCAACATAAACAGGCGGCCTTGAGAACCATCAGCAGAATACTAAACCAAAATACTGATTTACTCTGTATTAACTGCCCTGTGGTTTCAGCGCTAGCCAAGAATGGCCTCTGAACTCTCTGTGTGCAGATATTTTGCCTTTGGGGGGGATCATAAAAATGGAATCATGGAATGATTTAAGTTGGAAAGGATCTAAAAGCCCATCTCATTTCACCCTGCAATGGGCAGGGTCACCCTTCACTATCCCAGGTGGGACAACCTGGCCTTGGGCACTTCCAGGTATGAAAAACGCCAATCACTTGGTTTTTAAAACTTTAAAAGTTTAATAATAATAAAGTGGTTATAAAATAGTAATACAATTAGAGTAATAAAATCTAGAGTTAGGACAATTACAAGACAATTAAAGAAACAAAGAATTATGGATGTCCGGATGCTCTTGGTCACTTAAGCCCTGACAAGCATGTTTTGTGAACAAAGGAATAACCTTTAAAACAATACACTGTTGCATATTATGCATATATAATTCATGGTTATGCATACATTCTATTTAAAACAAGAAACTGTTCTATTTCAACTGCTTCCTTTAATCCCACAGCATCTTTGAGTCTGAGCAAGGCCTGGAGAAATTAGCTTCTTCTGATAAGAAAACCATAAATTCTCTGGAAGATTTGGGGGTTCTGTGACTGTGATCTCGAACCGAGATAACCGCTGCAGTCCCAGCTCCCGCCGCTCGAGGGCGCTGTCCCCGGCGGGCCGTGCCCCGCGCGGCGCTCTGGCCCGCGGCTGCTCTCGGCGCCCTTCCGGCCGCGCTTCCGGCCGCGTGGGCTGAGGGCGGTGAGGGGACATGGCGGGCACGGGGTGCTGAGGGGACATGGCGGGCACGGGGTGCTGAGGGGACATGGGGGGCACGGGGTGCTGAGGGAGGGTGAGGGGACATGGCGGGCACGGGGTGCTGAGGGAGGGTGAGGGGACATGGCGGGCACGGGGTGCTGAGGGGACATGGCGGGTGTGATGGGGATGGGGGTCAGTGGGTGATGGGGATGGGGGTCAGTGGGTGATGGGTGGTGGGGGTCAGTGGGTGATGGGGGATGGGGGTCAGTGGGTGATGGGGGTCAGTGGGTGATGGGGATGTGGGTCAGTGGGTGATGGCGGTCAGTGGGTGGTGGGGTTCAGTGGAGTGTTGGGGATGGGGGATCAGTGGGTGATGGGGGTCGATGGGGGATGGGGGTCAGTGGGTGATGGGGGTCAGTGGGTGATGGGGGTGGGGGTCAGTGGGTGATGGGGATGGGGGTCAGTGGGTGATGGGGATGGGGGTCAGTGGGTGATGGGTGCGGGGAGGGGGCTGGGGGAGATGGAGTAGGGGGAGTCTGAGCGCTGGGGGTAGTGAAGGTCGGGGCAGAGTGTGGGGTGCAGGAGGGGCGGTAATGGGGGCTCTGGGGAAGCAGGGGCTGAGGGCGGCGTGGGGACATGGGGGACTCGGGGTTTGGGGTGCAGATGGGGGGGAAGCGAGGTACTGGGGTGCAGGGTATGGAGGTTTGGGGGGAGCTGGGGGCAGCTGGATTTGGGGGTGCACAGGGGGTTTGGGACGCAGGGTGGTGGGTATTGGGGTACAGGGGAAAGGTGTGGGGTTGCAGGGGGTGTAAGGAGTGAACTGTGTGGTGGGGAGGGGGCTGCAGGGCCAGCCCCAGGGCCAGCAGCCAGAACAGGACTTTGCTTTTGCTGTGAGTGTCCCAGAGTTTGTGTGTCCCAGGGTTTCCTGCCAGGGCTCAGCCCCAGAGAAGCCACAGACGGTGACAGGGGTGGCACTCAGGGGTGGCACTCGGTGCTTCCATTCCTGAGGTGAGGGAGCAGCAGGTGAGTCCTGGGAGCCCCGTGTGCCCCTCCTGGGCAGGGTGTGGGGTCTGTGGGCTGGGGAAGGGCTGCTGGGTGGTACCAGCCAGCCTCACCCGTGCCCAAGAGCAGCTCCCAGGTGGGCTCCGTGCTGGGCCTCACTGTGCAGTAACAGGTGTGAACATTCATGAAGCATTTTGATGGTCATGTATGATACTGCATACAACATTTTCCTCATCTAAGGAGAAATGGGTTAGATTGGGTTTTTTTAATGTGTACTGAGTCTTCTTTTGAAAGTGTTATGCAAAATCGAGCTGGTGCTCTCTCAGGTATGGAAATGAGAACTTGGGTACTTGATTTATCACTAGATACTGTTTGAGTTGCAACTTTGTTCCCCACGTAGCAGGGAATAGTGATAAGGCGGGTTCTGCACTTGAGCAAATGTAAGGCTTTGTTGGAAGTTGTGTACTTTGCTCTCTTGTTTACATGTCTGGTTCCTCTCCTGCAGCGGGGGTTCACCTGGGGACGCCTCAGGGGACTGTGTGCCCTGGCAGGTGTGGGCAGGGAGAGGGGAAGGCCTGTGCTGGGAACCTGGCAGTGATCCCAGCTGCTGGCAAACAGTCCTTGCCAAAACAACAAGTGCTTTTCCAGTTTGTTGTTGCTGTGGGATGGGTGATCTGGCCCTGGAAGTGCTTGTGGTGGAGATATTTCTGGGAAGGATTTTCGGGAGAGCTGGGGTGGGATGATGCTTCAGTTCACACTGATCCAGAGGAGATGGGTGTGTGTAGGACAGGGCTGGACATCTTGGTTATTCATTTTCAGGTGGCTGGACCAAGAGACGATTCTGCAGGATGGCGGGAGCTGCTCTTGCAGTTTGGTAATACCTGTGTGGTCTTTTTGGGTTATCATAGAAGGGTTTGGGCTGAAAGGGACCATAGGAACTATCTCCTTCCACCCCCTGCCATGGGCAAGGACACCTTCCACTATCCCAGGCTGCCCCAAGCCCTGTCCAGCCTGGCCTTGAGTATGTCCAGAGCTTCTCTGGACGCCCTGTGCCAGTGCCTCCCCACCCTCCCTAATTCCCTAATACCCCATCTAACCCTTCCCTGTGCCTGTTGAAACCATTCCCCCTTGTCCTGGCACTCCATGCTCTTGTAAAACATCCCCCTCCAGCTTTCCTGTAGGTTGTAGAAGGCAGTGCTGCCTAATTGGATGGTGAACATGAATAAAATCCATTTTTCAAAGTTGACTTTCTTTTTGTTTAAACCTTTTGTGCCTGAACACTGTAGGCAGGTGTTTACCTGCTGCAGGTGGCTGTGCAGAAGTGGCACCTGCACTGTCCCCTGCAGACGTGCAGTGCCCAGCCCTGCGTGCGGAGCTCGGCATTGCTGTGGGATTTGGGAATATCTCGGTGTGCCGAGCTCCCACCTCCACTAGAGGGTGTGGCGCTCCACAGAATCCTTTGTTTTCACGGAAACGGGAAAACTTGGAGCCTTTCTGTTCTCGGATGTGCAGGCAGCGAGGCCGTGGCAGGATTACATCCCTCGGGAGATCCCTGCTGTGTGCCCTGGCAGCAGCCCAGGCTGCATTACACAACTGCCAGCCGGGCTCGGAGCATTCCATGGGATGTCCCTGGCCAGCCTGCAGCCAGGAGGAGCAGCTGGAATGTGCAGGGGAGGCAGTTCTGCTGGAGGTTGGATCAGGTCGTGCCCAGCTCCTGGACAAGGTTTCCTGGAGAGATAACTTGCACATTCCGAGTTCCCTCTCCTTTCTCTCAGGGAGAAAAATATATCTAAACAGCAAGGACAAATATTTCACTTGCACAAGAGCCTGGCTCCTAGATTTCCCTTCCTGGAGGGAATTTCCACTTGCTGTGTAACCTTCCCAAGCCAAGCCCAACGCCAGTGTGCTGTGAAATTCCATAAGCGTGCTGCTTGCTGGGCTGTGTGTGCTCCCTGTGCTCGTAGGATGTGCTGCTCAGCTCCAGGTTGGCTCCTTGGCCAGGTATAGGTTTTCTTCCTTGCTAAATTCTGCCTCCAAGTGTCTCGTTAAGAAGGAAATGCTGAGCAGAAGGATCCTTGGTGCAGCACTCAGTGCCTGAGGCAGCACCCAGAGGAGAGCTGGCGGGGGTGGGTGGTGATGCTGTGGCTGGGCATGGGGAGGAGCACAGGCTCCTCTCCAGCTGCTGGTGCTGTGGGCCTGCAGATATTTTGGAGTTGGATCCATCTGGGAGGGGAGCAGCTCCACAGGCAGGTGGGATGTGCAGCTCTGTGGTGTCAGGAGGGCTCGAGGCTTCTGCACGCTGCCAGGGATGTCCAGGCAGAGCCCTGGGCATGGGGAGAGCTAAGTGGCCTCTCCAGGGACCTCCTTGGAGGAGTCCTGTGGGTAAATTCCCTCGAGGGAAGAGGGATCCCAGAGAGCTGGGTAATATCCAAAGATCACTTCTTCCAGGCTCAGTAACATCCCTGTGGACAAGGAATGGAGCAAAAGGGGCAGGAGAGCTGCAGGATGGACATGGAACTCTGTCAGGAGAGACAATGAGGTGGAAGAAGGCCAGGATGAATACAGGGATGGTGTCTGAGTGTGCTCTGGTGTGCTCATCCACACTGCTGATGGGAGGGAGGTCAGAGACTCCTGGTGCAGAGCCAGCTTGGAGCAGCAGGCAGGATCATAACCCAGCCAAGCAAATCCTCCATCAGCTGAGCATGAAATGGATATTTATGTATGTAATGAGGAAGAGGTGTTTGCACAGGTACCTGTGTTACACCTCAACTGCAGCCAGGCCAAATCCCAAGCGCTGGGGCTGTGCTGGGATCTGGTCAGACCCTGTGGAAGGGAAGCAGGTCCCATGTGGGCAAGGGAGAGGCACAGGCTGTGGGGAACAAGCAGCTGCCAAGGTGGGGCAGCTTGGTGAGCTATGGGGAAACCTCTTTATCCTCCAGAGCTCAGCCCAGAGAGGGCCTGGCTGTGCCTGTGGTGTCTCCCCTTGCACTGAGCCTGGCCCTGCTCCACGGCTGCCTTCTGCTCTCCCCTGCTGTGCTCCTGGTTTGTGCTGAGGCTGGAAGAACTTTGAGCTCTGTGCCTGGCTAGACCTTAAGCTGAGGCAGCAATAAGTTCCCAGTGCCTGTGTTATGTAAGGGTTTGAACTTTGCCCTGTTGGAAGCGTGAATGTCTGGCCTGCTCTGATCTCTGCAGGAATTGTGAGTGTGGAGATTGAGGGCTGTGGCCACTTCTGGGTAAACAGCCAGAGAACTGCCTGTTTGCCACCTTTCCTCTCCCTCCACCACCACTGAAGATGCTCTGGCAGCTCTCTTGGAGTGTGACATCTGGGAATAGCGCTGGCAATGCGCAGTGCAGCCCAGGCCCTTCCACCTGGCAACACTCAGCCCTGGTGAAAGCTCACCTCTGCTAAGAGCTGCTTTTAGCTGTTCCCTCGAGAGCTGTTTTAGCTCTGTTTTTAGCACTGCTCTTCCTTCAGCAGCAGCTGAAGTCCTTTGGGCACAGGCTGCAGGAAGGACACGTCTGGTGTCTCACTGCTCTGACCCTGGGGAAGGATGAGGTTGGGCACAGCCTGAGCATCCTCAGAACTCCCAGCTCCCACCAGAGCCAGCACTCCATGGCAGGAGTTGATGCCAATCACTGTGCTGTGGTGATGAAGGGAGGGGGCAAGCAAAGAAAGCTTTAAAAAATATATTTTTTTAAGCCATACCTAAGAAATCTGCCGTGGCTCCAAGTTGGACCTTGCTGTCAGAGGTGAGCAGGCTTAATTTGACAGCTATTTCTTAAATATTTTAAAAGCTGCCTGGAATAAACTGAATGCTTCCGAGTAGTGACCTAAATTCCACTTGCTGTAAATTTCATTAGAAAGTGGATTTGTGTGCCTGCCAGGCTTCTTTGCAGCTTCATTGATCTGCCCAAACCATGTGCTGTGCAAGTGCCTTCCTCAGCAGATTTTTAAAGAGCTCACTGCTGCGTGCTGCCAGCCCAGAATGTGACTCGTTTTTTCTTTTCTCTTCCTCCTTTTTTTTTTTTTGTTTTTGTTTTTTGTTTTTTTTTTTGTTTCCTGGTGCAAATGCATGATTTGTTTACTAATCACATTGCATCATTAGCTGCACAGAGTCATCCCACCGGCTGCGTGGGCACGGATGGAGCAGCTGGGAAGGAAAATGTCACTTTCTTCAGCTCACTTGATGTGCTTTGCTCCCAAATCCCCATCCCACGCCATGAAGGCCAAAGACTTTCACAACCCTGGCAGCTGCCAGCAGCTCTCTGCTCTCCAGCACCATCACCTGTGGTTGTGACACCCCCTGGAAAAAGCCTCCTCCCCTCCTGCTGTCCCCAAAGCGCTGTCTATCCCTGTGCAGCCACGGCTTTGGATCTTGTGGAGAGGTGTGATGTAGGACAGATGGCACAGACTGAGCCTTACCAGGGAACACAGCCTGGGGAGGCGTGGGGCTGCCACACCTGTGGATGCAGGAGCAACAGGCACCTCCCCAGGCCTGAGCAGGGTCACACAGGGGATGCTGAGCTCCCTGCTGTGGCAGTGTGCTTGCAGCCCACCTGCAAGGGAATGGAGAGGGGCTCTGTGCAGCACCACAGGGACACAGGGCCCGTGCAGGACACGGCTGTCCCTGTTACGTGGTTGGTTTCTCTCCTGCAGTGGGGGGGTTCAGCTCCTGTGTTGGCAGACACAGAGCAATTGCCTGCTTGGGCTGGAGAACTGGGTGAGGGGAAGGTCCCTGTGGCTCTGAGGTTGGATACCCAGCCCTGCCTGCCCCACGGGAACCCTATTCTGGGGCTGTCCCTCTGCCCCTGGCACTTCTGCTCCTGGGGGAGCCCCAGCCTGGGGAAAGGCTCCATCACTGTATGAAACCCAAGTTTTGGAAGCCCCATGGCCTTGCTGTGTTTTGGGGGGGTTGGGCAGGCAGACTGTGCTGCAAATAAAGGCCTGACCCACAACCCCATCCTACAGGAGTGAAGTGCTGGCCCCTGGCAGGAGCTCTGACAGCTCTTTCCAGTTCACAGCACAAGGCAGAAGAGGCTTTTGAAGAGGAGCTTTTGTGCCCGAGGACAGTCCCAGCAGTGCCAGGCTGGAGTGGAAAACAGCCCTGGCAGCAAGCCCAGGGGTGGGTTTGGGCCAGGAGGGCACACTTGTGTTGAAGGGATGTCTAAGGGGATTGGTTATCACAGAAATACACCCCTCTTCTAACCACTACCCATGACTGAACATTGTGAAGGCACATCTGGAAGGGGAGTTTGTGCTTCTCTTGCTGAATGGGTGATGAAAGTGGGAAGAAATCCCTGTCTTAGAGCTGTGGAACATGGGACTGTCCTGCCTCCTGATGAGGAAGGGGCTTTCTTGGGCTGAGTTTTGGCCTCCAAGCAGCAGCAGCCTTTCCACTGCCCTCCCCTTGCCTTTGGCTGCCAGCACAGGGGATGCTGAGTGCCAGGATCCTGGCACTCTGCTCTGGGCGAGGCGCTGCTTCACCTCTGCCATACGACTCTGATTTATTTTCAGAAGTTAAACCTGAGGTCTGACAAAGACCCCACAGCTTGGGCCAGCCATATGGGCTGTCCTGGGGAGAGGGCCTTGCTGGCTGTCAGCATCCAGTCTAGGGCTAAATTAATTTCCCATAGATCTGAAATGCTCTCCCAGTTTCCCAGCTTCTCAGCACCTCTGCTGGAGATGCCTGTTATTTTTGTCCCTGAGGTCTGAGATGTACAATAAGTTTTGCAGAGGTGATGACCCAATTCCATCCCTTTATGCTGTCAGCACCCAGAGCCTTTCCTTATTCCAGCTCTTGATGAAGGGTTTCTCTTGTGGCCCCAGGTGGCTTCAGCTGTCTCCAAGCCTCATCTGTCTCCAGATGGAGGAAAGCCAGGGAGGAAGGAGACTTGGAGGCAAGAGGACTCCTGGCTCTGTCCTGCTTTGGTTTGGGGCACTGTGGGTGGTTCAGCCCCTTGGAGGAGCTCTGCAGGCTCACCCTGTGAGCCTCAGGGTCCTGTGCCTGGCACAGAGGCACCAGGGCTGTGCCAGCCTGGCCATGACTGGGGGCTGGGATGGCACCAGGAGCTTCCCTGGGTCATTCCCCTGCCCAGTGCAGTGAGGCTGGAGCAAGTGCAGCTGCACTTGTGAGTGAGAGCAAAGGGCTGCCCGGGGGGAGCTGCCAGGGACAGCTGGATTGAAGTGTTGGGAGTGTCACCAAAGCAGCAGTTTCTCTCTACAAGCCATGGGGGTTTATGTGAAAA